CACCTGCATCCACCCACACCTACACCCACCCTCAAGAGGTGGTGAAACACGATCTAAAAAGAGTATTGAATTATCTAATCAATAGTATCTCACGAACACAATTCCTTACGGTTGAAATTTCGAATAAGTCTATTGCTTTTCTTTTAGCAATCTGAATCGTCATCGCTTCATAAGTGTTGATATTGATGCTTTCGCCTCTTTGTATGATAAAAGATTAACAGACTACTTTTTGCTTCGTCACAACAAGTTTAAACTGTGCATCCGAGCATTGGTGATGATATTGCATTTTTGACTGTATTTTTGCACCATCATAAAAGTCAATAAATTATTGTTGTACGTTAAGCTCGGTATTCAGTAACTAAAAGAAACTAAATGTTACGTATAGTGTTATTTACCTAGAATAGATAAGAGCATTAAAAGATTAATGAAACAATAGTAATATTTAAGAGTATGTCTATTCTTTAGCCTTCACATTATTCTTTTATCGCAAGTAAAGAGACAAATATGAATACTTTCAAGCTTATTACCTTTCGTCTTCTAACTCTTTTCATCATTATTACACAGTTCAAAGATATATCATCGGTGTCTTCAATTAAGAAACTTTATGCTGTCCTTTCCAATCGGCAGATTACGTCTACCATTACAAAAGCACAAAACTATCAAGTTGCGCCCGGTATTAACTACGAGTATTTATATACCAAAGGAAGTAACAACAATAGTTCAAAACCAACTATGTTATTTTTGCATGGTTTTCCATCTTCTTTCCATAGTTGGCGCCATCAAATAGACTATTTTTCACGACAAGGTTATGATTGTCTAGCACCAAATATGATGGGCTATGGGAGAACCTATTCACCATTGAACGTGAGTGAATACAAGAGCAAGGCAATGGTTGATCACCTGATTACTCTTCTGAATTACTTACAAATAAACAAAGTCATTGTCGTGGGTCATGATTGGGGTACTCGAACAGCCGGTCGATTCCTCTTGCATCGTCCTGAACGAACTGTAGGTGTAGTACTCATTAGTGGTAGTTACAATGCACCGGCACTCTTTGATCTCGATCGAGCACTTGAAGCTTCGACGAAAGCGTTTGGATATGAAATCTATGGTCATTGGAAGTTTTTTGAAGCTAACGATGCTGCAAAACTGATTGAGAACAATATAGAAGGCTTCATGGATCTTGTCTTTGCCAGTGATCCAACTCTCTGGAAGACAAATTTTGCTCCTGTTGGAAAAGTACGAGAATGGGTGGTAAATAAGAATAAAACAACTAGAGGTGCATATATGACAGCTAATGATTATGAGATCCTTCGACAATATCATGCTGAAGGAATGCAACCAAAATTGAATTGGTTTAAAATGATGATTGCGAATAATGATTGGGAAGATGAGAAAAATCGTAATCCTGTACTCCAACGACCAGTGCTGTATCTCGGAGGAAAGAAGGATTATGTTAGCGTGATTTCTGCCTATGGAGGACCAAGTCAATATATTGCCGATTTGCAAACATGTCCACTCGATACAGGTCATTGGGTGATGGAGGAAGATCCACAAGGAGTTAACGGCATTATCGAAAGATGGATCAAAAGAATTCAATAAATTTTAATTTAAATAAAAAAAACTAGATGAATGAACATAATAAAAATATCGAAAATAAAAGTGTCGAAAAGCCTTTAAACATGTAAGAAGTAAATATCCGAAGAACGGGTGTTTTGAAAGGTGATCGATCAGGATGTCCTTTTAAATATATCATTGGTTAGTTCGATCCTAAGTCATTCAGTGCAATGATACATATATGTAAGAATGCTATTCTGCTGTTTATTATTCGAGAAATAGATACCAGATGGAAGACGTCGATGAATAACCACTATTAGTAATAAATCAATATGTATATAAATGTAATAAAAAATTCCTAGTAAAAAATATCGGATTTGTATAGTGAAGGATTGCAAGATAGCCGTCCATACTGATATAAATAACAATTATCTATCTGGTAGTAAAAATGAACATAGTCATCCACTAGACCCAGACGCTATTCAAAGCAAACAACGTGTATTGAATGAATAAACAGCCATTAGAAAAATCTATGACGAAGAAATCGCAAAAACTGCTTTGAATTCGGTGGCGAAAGCCATATGCTCAATAGTAAATGAAATTTGTAAGTTATTTTATAATTAATAATTAATGAATAGATTTCTGCATTTTTAGATCGAAGTACTGCTAAAAATCACAGTAGATTGACACCACCAATACCAGATTCATGCTTGTTTGACATACCTGAAAAATTTAAAACGACTATCAACAACAGACGATTCTTATTTTTCGATGAGTCTCGTGTAAGACGTGAACGTTTATTAGTTTTTTCAAGTGACGATCAACTAAATTTATTATTCGATTCTCCGATAATATACATGGATGGTACTTCCGAAAAAGCTCCAAATCATTTTAACCAGATATACATAATTCATGCGGTATTTTTTAATATCTGTAAGCAGTATTGTTATTATCCTTTTGAAATGGTATTGGTTTATTTTAAATTGATTTAAATTGAGTTCTCTAGTATAAACAAAAAAAAATTAATAAAATATATAATAAATTGTAATTGTAGCAACTATTTTAATTTAGAGATGATGAACAAATTCAGCCATCATGCCTGCATCATACGATCTTCAAACGAATGGTTCGATAAAAACAAAGTTTCATGCAATATTCTAACAGAAAACTTAATCGAAGCTCAAGATCTTCAATTATTGTTTGTTTTTAATAGTTCATCAGAGCAAGCCTGTGTTGATTGTACATGTGGTATTAAAGTACAACTAACAAAACAACGCGGAAATTTTACGTTAAGTAATTACTATAAGCACATCAAGTCAAAGAGATGTATTGAGATCATAAAGAAAATGAATCATTTATCGATGTAGCATCCCCAGAAACTTCGATCATTTCACCGATACAATCATAGGTATTTTCAATAACAATCAATACAACAACAAAAAAACAGATTTATCATTCAAACGATCAACAATGAGACAACGTGTATACAATGAATATCTTCGAGTTCTCATTTGTAAATATAGAATATTTTCTAGGTCTAGTTTTTAATTATAACCTGCTATTTTTATTGTCATTTTATCATGTTGTAAGATACTTTCTTATTCTCACAAAAATATTATATATAGATAATTAACGAAATAAAATTAGAATGCAAAAGATATGGCAGCACATAGAAATTGAACAAATTTTACTTAGTAGCAAATCTTATAAGTGATTGATTTCAGTTAATTGTAACTGATTGCAGACAGTTCGAAAGTATCCTTACTAGTATATTTTATTAAATATATATCTTTATAAATACAGGAATATGTAACATAAGTGTTATAATCGATTTTCTATATATTAATAGAATCAGATTGAATATGAATTTGTTTACCATCTGTAGTAAAAAAAATTAAAGCATAAACTTTTTGTATAAGAGAAGACAAGTGATTACTTTGCATTTTTGAAAGGTACGATGATTGAGAACCGACAAGTGCAAATGAGTGAGCTACACATGTGTTTAACTCAAAATAATCAGTAGCTAAATGATTTCGTAAGTTCATAATTACACCTTCATGTTTTTCTGAAATATTTCTCATAATATTTCTAAAAGTCATTCAATAAGAAAAACAGAAAACCTACCTGTAAACGTTGTAGCATTGTCTGTAGCCAATCAACACGAGTTGATCGGGTTTAAAACATCCCAGGTCGAACAATCCAGCACGGAAACGACCGATTCCATGATATTCCGGTGAATTAATCCGGTTCTGTTTGGAATCCACAGGAACCTGCAGCCAGATACGGTCGGAGAGTTCTTGAACCGGATTTTTAGATTTTTTCCAGCGATTTCCAGCTGAAAACTCACGGAATACTGCGTCAGGAATTATCGACTTGGAATCTTTGGCCCACAAGTCAGTAAGAGTTCTAACGATATTTTTTGCTGTTCCATTACCTTGAAAATCTATTAAACCATAGTATGATGTTCTAGCTTCATTATCTTCAACATATCGTACATAAACAATGCATGATTTTGCGTTTGATCTTGAAGTCAACTCATCCATCATCCAACCTAGAAGATCAAAGGCAATATTTCAGTTTTATAAATACTTTTTGTTATCATACCACAAACTGGGCTCACTTTAACTTTTGAAACTAATCCTTTATGAAGACAATTGCACTATGTTGAATAAAAAAATGTAACTTCATTATTCCTATAACTTACACTAGCAATCTCAACAGAAAGTAAAGTTACACTTAATTTTTCCAACAGTATACATAGTGGTTCAATACTATTAAGTGAATTATCTTGTTGACATAAATGGATGCTTGAGATCATAAGATTTTGTATAGCTTTTTCATTTTGGCTCAACTGCTTTTGTTGTGTTATACGTCAATCAAGCTGAGCTCAACAAGACACAATTAATTCTTGTTCTTCGGCTTGTTTATGAACAATACTGTTGTTCTAATAATGTTTCACTTTATCATAAGAAAAGATTATCATTTGACTTGTGCACCAAATATTTTTCTTTCATAAACATAAAATTAATATTTAGTAATTAAAAAAGTTCTTTATTCAATGTGTACAAATTATGGATAAGTCTCAATTATGACAGATACAGAACTATCTTAGCAAATAACGCTTGTCTGGAGACTTGTTCAGCTCTTTCTCGTAGAAATGGTATTTCTAATAGAGCTAAAGACTTTCTTTAGAAGATTGCTCTTTGTCCACAAAATGGTCCTTAAAAAAATCCTAAAAAATTAATATCAGATTAGTAGTTCTTGACCTCGATTACTTTTCGTTTCTAGATTAGTCTTCGATCAGTGAAGTGCGGATACACAAGCTAGCAGACAATTTATGTTTGCAAGACTACTCTTTACGAGAAAGCGAATAATTCGTTTTTTATTTAAAAAATGAGAAACTAATTACAATTTATTTGATGAATTTCTAAAATACGATCAAAACTTGGTTTATGATAAAGTGAGAATTATTCTCATTTATATATGTAAATATATACAATAATAATAATAAAAATATAGAAACAATGTTAATTGTCAATGATTCATTGTTGATATTTCTTTTTACAGTGATCTGATGATAAAGTTGATGATCTAGTTAATGTTTCACAAATACCAGAACGTGCGTTTTCATCTACACGTTGTGCACGAATAATAATATAAAGAAGAATAGACCATACACCTTCAAGACCATTAAAAATAACAAAAATCCAAGTTAAACCATGAACATTATATGAATTAATTATAGATAATAATGGACCAATAAGCCAACTAATACCTTGTGTTACACATGATGAAAGAAGTACGAGTACACACATTTTCAGTCGTTTAGAAGATTGATCCGATGCAATAACATTTCGTGCATGATTTATCAAACATCTAATAACTGATATAATCATTATTATATTTAATAGAAGAAAAATACAAATAGGAATTGTTAAAAAATAATGAATAACATTTGGAGTAAACCAACATATTTTATATGGATATAATATTGTTATATGATATGAAGAATTTGAATTAAAACCAATAGCAAATGAAACATATGTTATAGATATTAGAAATGAACTAATAAGTAATAGTCGAAGTCGTTTTAATGATGGTGGAGGATATGGATGAACAAAACGAAGATAATTAAAATAACCAACACTTGTTTTTGTACAAAACATAAATATAACAAGATAATAAACAATAAACATTAATATGTTACTTGTTCGGAAGCAAATATTCTCTTCTAATGATTCGGTTTGAGTATAAACAGTTAAACCAAGAGTTATATAAAAGATAAAAACTAATATTGTACTTGCACATGATATAAGTGGTAAAAGATCACGAGCTTCTAATTCAATATTTAAATTAATACGTCGTTTTATCAAACTATGAATAAGAATACTTAGAAAACATATTATAGAAATCATTTGAAATATTAATGAAATAATATCTTCAACATCGAAATATTTTGTATTTTTTATGTGCATTGTTTTTGGTAACCATACAAGAGCAAATGAAGTTAAATGATTACAACTACATTCATATCGTTGAAAATTAGAATTAAATATTGGATAAGTACATCCATGTTCAATCCAACTTGATGTATTTGTATCATAGAATGAACAATAATATTTTCCATTAGTTAAATTATATTCTAAATTAGGTAAAAGAGTAAAATAAATTGTAATATTCATATTTGAAATAATTTGATTATTTATTGTTTGTGTTTTAGCAACAATAATTGATGATGAAACTATTTTTTCATTTGAATTATTTAAACGATAATATTCAATAGGTGGTTCATCTATTACAAGCATATTAATATAAGTTATTCCTGTATTAATTAATGAATCAGGACTAATTATAGCTGCAGCAGTTAAATTCGAATTGATTAAATCAATTTTAGTTGAATTTTCAATTATTTGACCACCTACACCAGATTCAAATGAAACACCTAATACAAGATCTGTTTTAGATATCGATTGACACATAATAAATGATGATGAAGAATTTTGAATAAGGCTAATATTTAGAACACCAACTAGATTATCTATTAATATAGGTGTTAATGTTTTATTTAATTGTTCAAATGAATCCATAGATGCAGTTGCTCCAAAATATACACTAAGAGCATTAGCTATATCAATAACATTTACAATATTATTTTCATTCATTAGAAAATCTACTGCTTCATCCTAGAATAATAATATAAAAATGGCTTTTATTGTACAATTTATTTCATACGTAAGCATCAATCATTGGAACACATGTACCATTCAATCCCGGGATTAACATTGAATTATTACATAAATACTGATCATAAAAGAAAGATGGAATCTTTGTGGTAGTGGTGGTAGTAGAATATTGTGTTGTTGTTTGTGTTACTGTCGTTGTTACTTTTGTTGTTGTTGTTGTTGTTGTTGTTGTTGCTGCTACTGTTGTTACTATCGTTGTTACTGCCGTTGTTGTTTCTGTAGTTGTTGATAGTTGTGTTGCTGTTATTGTGGTTGTTGTTGTTGTTGTTGTCGTTGCTACTGTTGTTGTTGTGTCTATAAGACCATAGAAGACACTTAAATCGCCTAATTGTACAATTAATTGACTTTTAATCTAATAAATTTTAGAAAAAGAGAATAATACTTGATTTATAACATAAAATTTAATTTTTTACTTCTTGAAATATTTCTAATGAAGAACAATCAGTTGCATGACAAGGAATATTTACTTTCGATAATTCAATTTCATGGTTTGATCGATTTAAATATAAAATACCTTGTATTATAATAGGATGTAAATCATTTTCAAAATTCGAAATATTGTTTGATGTAGCACAATACGATTGATAACATTGTTCATTATTAATTCCATAATTATATATATTTGATAGAAAACAAGTACTATTACATTTTTGAAGAGGACATTCATCAGTATTCAAATTATCAATTGAATTACATTGAAAATTATTTGGACATTCATTACAATTACGTAATAATATTTCATTGTTTAAAACATTAATATTCAACCATGATTTATTTAAAGATATTTTCACACTATTTTTAAGATGAGATATTAAATAAGGATCATTACATAAATGCCAATTACAACCATAATAGATAAAATCTGTACTACTAATCCAATCATTAAGAGTTTTATTATAAATAATTGATTGTTGAATTAATATATAAGGAAATTGTTGAATGTATATTTGACTAGAATTTTGATTAATATGTGTAAGATTAGTATAAAATATTTCTTCATTGACAAATGATTCAACAATAATACAATGAGTAGTTTCAAAAGAGTTTTGTTCGGTTTCTTTACATGAACAAGTATTATTATTCATACATAAACATTTATAACATTCGAGATTATTGGATATTGTTGTCGTTGTTGTAGTTAGGACTTCTGTTGTTTCTTCATGTGTTGTAGTTGTCAATGTTGACGATAGTGTTGTTGGTCGAACAGATGGAAATATAGCTAGATCACTAGTTGGAATAGAAATTTGTTCTTTTATTTCTTGAAAAATAGTTGGACGAGAACAATTATCAGCAGTACAAAATATATCCATTTTTAATATAGAAAATTTCGAACGATTTTGAGCTAAAAAAATAATTATATCCAGAACAATTTTAGATTGTTCATCATCTTTATCATTTGATTCATCGCTTGAATCTTTTGATGAACATTCAGAATGAAAACATTGTTCATTTGTAAGAATATTATTTGTTAAACTAGACATAATACACTAAATATTAAAATAAATTATTTTTTAAAATATATTATATTTCATTATTAAACACATACAGTTTTACGTTTAGTACATTTTATAATTGGACATTGATTAAAATCAATAGGATATGTTGAATTACGACAGAATTTCTTTGGACAATAATGACATTTATCAACTACACCATTACCATAAATATTTTTATTTAACCATGCTTTATTAATCGTTGTTTTAATTGTAAGAGGAAATATATTTATTAATTTTAAATCATTACAATAATTCCAATCACAACTATAAATAATATCATGTGTTAATGTATACCAATCTTTTGTTTTTTTATTATGTATAATCGATTGTTTTATATCAATATAATAATGATCATTGGTATTCAAATATGTTGAATTATGATTAGCACCAGTTAAATAAATAGATGAATTATTCAATGCATATTTTAGATCAATAATACAACGAGTGCTATCATTTCTATCAATTGTATTTGAACAATCACAAAATTTTTTAAAATTACATATACATTCAAAACAAATAAGACTAGAACTAGGTATTACCATTAATATAACAAGAAAAAATGTTATCCAACCAACAATCATTATTGTCGAAATAAAAAATACTTAAACTCGATTATTTATAAAAGTAAAAGAAAAAAAAATTCTTCTATCATTAAAAAAGACGATAAAATATATACTTTATTTTTCGTTTTTTATGATTGAATGTGCCCTCATAAATTGATAACGATAATAAACATGTGACAAATTTAATCAAGTAACAATATAAAAAAAGGTATTTGCGCATTCGTCCAAATATAGATTTCTTAACAATAAAATATATTGAAAAATAATCGAAGTATAGAAAAGTAAGTAAAAACAAGATCTTTTTAATTCATTAAAAAAAAGATCTTTTTCGATTATTTTTATGATTTTATTTCATACCTGTGAATGAATTTATTATCCTTTAATAATTAGTACAAGCATTTGCTCTTCGTTTCATTTCTTTCAGATATAAATCAGTAAGTATAATTCTAGATTTATTTCAAGACATTAATTTAGAAATATGATTTTTTTCATAGTGCAATTGTATTGAGAGATGTATTTATTTTATTGTTAGTTAGATCATATTATACTCCTAGTACGTTTATAATTCTAATTCAATCTATTCATAGAACGGGATACACAACTGATGTTAGTATAGGACAAAATAAATATATCTTTCTATTTTTGTTATTTGACATTTAATTAGAATACTTGTTTGAATGTAAATAAAAACTGATAAGCATCGTTGATTTGTTAGAAAATATTTTCTTTTCGATTTCTAAGATAATAAATTTGAGTTTTATTTTTCTATAAAATTGTTTTGAATATAAAGAAAAGATTAGTTTTTCTTATAAATCAAATAAATAGCATGATTCTTTTGTTTTTATATATATATATTGTTGAGTAGAATAAGAAAAAGAAAAGGACAAGATAACAATATGACAAGTATGTGTATTTTAAATGTCATATGATTGTTCTTATCGTTGTTGGTCTATAGATAAATATAATAATAAGATTTGTGCTTGTAATGTTTTATTTTAACTATTTTAAGATACGTATAAAATAGAATTTTATAATGAAATTTTTATTAATTTTAATTAATATTTATTTACTTGTAAAATGTGATAATAACGTGGATATTCCATCTCAATCAGGTAATTTGTAATATATATAATAAAAAGATAAATATAAATTGTTTAAAAATAGTTAATAGAACTGTTGTTCCATATAATACAATCGTTGGATATGCATCAACAAATGTCGAAGCTTATTCAAATGGAAATGATAGTCAGACAACAACTGAATATAATTCTTTATATGGAATATTTATGGGAATAAAATGGCAATGTGTTGAATACGCACGTCGATGGTTATTTATACGTAAAGGTTGTGTTTTTGACAGTATTGATGGTGCTGCTGATATTTGGACACAAATTGATTATGTTCAAAGAGTTGATGATAAAAAATGTTTTTCAGTTAAAAAATATTCAAATGGTTCTCCTAATCGACCACAAAATGAATCATTACTTATATATAATCGTTCAGGAATTGCTTTGCCATTTGGTCATGTTGCTATTATTGTTGATGTTTTATCTAATTCTATTCGAGTTGCCGAAGAAAATTATGATTCTTATTTATGGATTGGTAATTATTCTCGAGAAATTCCATATAAATATTTAAATGGAAATTATTATATTGAAGATAAATATCCAATTGCTGGTTGGATATCGATTATTGATTATAATCAAACAAAACCATTAGATAAATATACAATCAATAATATTATTAAACTTAATGGAACATCTCCAGATTTTATTTGTTCAAATAATTCTATTTATTCAAATAATTCTATTTATTCAAATAATTCTACTTATCATTTTATTTCATTTTATTCTTATCTTATTTTTATTTTCGTTTTATTAAAAAATTATTGTATGTAGAAATAAAATATTCTACTGTTTATATTATTTCATTGTCACTGTATCGTATGTTATCAAGTAGCTTCTAAATCTAGTTCACACTCTTTATTCTGTGTATAAGAAAAGGATTGGATATTTATTAGAATATTGAATATAATAATTTGAATACATTAAAATCGAATGTTTAAAAGAGATTAGGATTAGTTAGTTTTTCTAGAATTGGGATGAGTTTGGAGAAATTTCTAATATTATTTAATATAAACCTCCAAAGAATGTTAATTCATATAACCAGGTTTGATATATACTCCAACGTTCAATAGAGATCAACACTTGTTTTGTTGCCAGTGGTTTCATCGTAGTATTAAAAATACTTGCTGAAAAGGTGAAAGTACCGTTGCTGATCGCTGGAAACGAGAATGATTGAGCTAAACATGTTCCATTTTCGTCTATATAAATACCTATTGTTTTTGGATCATGTGTTGCATCACCACCTACTGTCAGTTGGAGGGAATTTAGTAGATATGTATCATTAAAAGTAACAAATATATAATCTAATACATTATAACCACCATATCTATTCCATTTAGTGCTAATATAACCATCGAAACCACGCCACCATTCTTCACCAGTTGAGTTAAATGACATATCGACATAAGAGAATTTACTAGGAAGTGTTCCAGTCATAACAGGCATCTTCACGATAGTCATTGCTAAATAAAAAAACAATAAATCATTGGCATAGTTGATCAATACAAACGAAATCGATTGAAATGTTTAACATTTCTATTTTTCACAAACTCGAAACTAATATGTAATTCTACATGTCGTCTAATTATTAAAAATTATTCGTTAAACTTACGTATACATGTTTTATTTTTTCGTGAACAAACAAGATTGAGATCATTACGACATTGATCACTTGTATTACAATATTTTCCAGCATAAAATTGTGGTACACATGTTTTATTCATCCAATATGTTCCAACTGGACAATGACATTTTCCACATTGACAAGTCAGATTCATGTCTTGTTCACACCAGTTATCATTCTCACATGATAACGTTGAATCTACAAATAATTGATTCATACAATTACCTTCATTATCATAAAAAGTATCTAGAGGACATTGACAAGTGTTGTTTCTGCATACAAGATATCTATCAGGAAAACAATGATCACATGATTGATTATAAGCAGCTGCCACATTTATTTTACTATAATTAATTGCACCAACCATACGACTGCTAGAATTTGTAACAATGATGGAACCAGTGTTAGAAGAACCTTCATAAAGTTGACAGATAGATAAATCAAAGACAAATGTACGACATTGTGGATCTTGATGACATAATAAAGCACAATCGAAAGCCGAAGCAACTGATAAATGTGTACCACGTAACTCTATTTTATTAGCTGGAATAAAATCAGTACCATAACTAGCGAAGTCAATATATGATGTTAGATCACCATAGAGGACATGAATATGTATTAAAAGGAAAATAGAACTCGTATATATCATCATTGCTTTCTTGAATGAATCGAACTAAACAAACATAAGTAACTTAGACAGAAGAATGTTTACCTTAAAAACTAAAAGGAATATACTTTTTAAGAAAAATTTTTCTAAAAGCCTCTCAGATAATAAGTACTGTGAAAGTGCTAATATACTCTTAATGATATTATCATACACATGATATTCAAGTATTTAAACGATGTTTTTCCTTGCACCTGATATCTTAAAAGCTTTCAACAATATTTAATATAATGAACATCACATACTGAAAGCATTATTTGAGAAGATGCATATTTTAATTGCTATTATTGCTAGAGATATCTTTATTTTCTACAGATCACAATTTATCACTTGAAATATGCAAAACTAAGAGAAAGTACTTCAGATCTGATAAAAGCCTATGAACTGTGTGATATATACTTACAATGCATAATTATTGAAAAAAGTTCAAATTTTCGGAAAAAGAAATTTCTCAATAAAAACTCACAGAAACTTCGAAGATCACGTCTATCGTATATAAAAAAAAATTCTAATTACTAATAAATTTTCTGATATAAAATGGATATTTATCGAAATGATGAGGACTTTGTATTATATAGCATCGATAACTACTGAAATTTCGTAGAACTTTCTTTTTTGATTGAATGGTAAATTCCAAAATGTCCTGAAAGCCATCTTGAGGATGTGGATGTAGGTGTCGTATAAAGATAATACCCACACCCTCAAGATATTAAACCTGGTGCTCCTATGGATCATCCAGATTTTTCTATTATTTGGATGTCATTATAACAAATTAAATTAACGTATTTTGATTCATTTAATTTATCACACACGCGTATGTATATACTGTATATTTTCAATATAAAGAGTTCATGCCGAAAATGGGTTATAAAGTACTTGAAAATTTTCATGCATTATATATATTTATGTAATTATTATAAATATTTAGAAAAGATTTTCATGATCTACGGAACACTATTTCGTACTACTCCTCGAAAAAAATGAAGTCTATGAAATCTTTTAAGGTTTCGTACAAACAAAATATAGTTCTATAATCATTTTTCTTGCTGAGAAGTACTTTTTCATAGTTGTGATCATAGATAAAATGCAGAATCTTAAAATATTCCGTAGATCTTTTTGTTCGAGTAGGGACGAATATGATCAATAATTCCATTCATTGTGATCTGAATGGCATCGAATGTATTCATATTGAATCTAAATTTATTGATTAAATTTCAATTAGGAAAAAACTGAGTTGAAGATATAAACTAGTTGAATCATTTATTCTTTGTATATGGAAGTTTTAAACATCAAATCTATAATTTTATTATTTTTCATATAATAACAAATATTTATAAAAAAAAAGAAGAATAGTGCACGATTATAAATCTAATAAATAAAAATTATTTTTGAATAAAATCTTCTAAAGATTGACTAAATTCTTTAATCCATGTTGTATGATGTTGTTTAGCAATTGTATTAGTTATAGGTGAAGTATAAATTTTGTCTCTATATGTAAGAATATTTTCATTTCTTGCTTTAATACAATCAAATAGAATTTCCATCATTTGTTCAACATTAAAATTTGGATAATCAGTTGAATTAAGTAAATCAATAAGATAATCTTTTTGAAAATGAAAAGCATCATAAATATTTTTTATATTTTTTTCTTTTATTTTCCATTGTTTAATATCCAATTCCATTTCTTGCTTTGTCGCAGGTAATTTAATATTTCCAAGAATAAAATCTCTTGCATACCATGATTGAATATTTGCAATATTTAAAGCAAATGTTACACGTTGCATACCAATATAAATTAAACGTGGTTGATCTAACCAAAATATTGTTTTATATAAATTTGGTAAATAAATCGAATTTGATGATTTTAAACGAAGATTATCATCTAAATATGGAAAATGATGAACATATCCAGTACAATAAATAATCGCATCAAATCTATCTGATGATTCATCTTTAAAATAAACAATATTTTTATCAATTTTAGTAATTGATGGAACTTCTTTGATTTCATCTGGCCATTTTAATTCTTTTGCTTTTGTTCGATACGAAATTCTAATAAATTTCGTTCCATATTTATATAATTCTAACGCAATATCTTCACCTGAAACTCCATTACCAACTATAAGAACATTTTTATTTTGAGAATCTTCTGCAAAACGATAATCATGAGAATGTAATAATCGTCCAGGAAATGTTTCAATACCATTTAAATATGGAATAAATGGTGTTGAATAATGTCCTGTTGCTATAATAACATAATCAAATTCTTCCGAATAGATTTTATCATTTTTTAAATCTTTTATTACTATATTAAATTTATTTTTTTCTTCTAAATAATTAATCCATTGAATATTTTTATTAAATTGAATATATTGACAAACATTATTTTGTTGAGCATAACCTCGAATATAATCATAAAACATATTTCGTGGTAAATATGATGGAACTGATTGACCAAAATGTTTATCATACGTATAATCAACATATTCCGCACATTCTTTTGGTAAATTTGTCCATAAATTAAAATACATACTACTATGAACATGTTCATTATATTCATCTAAACCTGTTCGCCATGTATAATTCCATTGACCACCTAAATCGCTTTGTTTTTCATAACATACTATTTCAGGTATTTCACAACCTTTTTGTCTAGCTGATTCAAATGCATGTAATTGACTTAAACCAGATGGACCAGCACCACAAATTGCAACTCGAATTGATGAAGACATTTTTTTTCGTTTGTTTATACACAAATCAACAAATAAAAGAAAAACATGTGCATTTTTATATGATTATAGAAGAAAAGGAAAGAAACAGTATATACAATGAAGAAGATGTGTGTTTTTCTACGTTTATATTTATCGATGCACTCTACGTCTCTTTTTCATCTCGTTCTATAGTGTCACTAATAGCCAAGTAACTTAGTTTGTTTTTATTATTGTTTATAACGAGAAATTTTATTTAAAATATATTATTGAGAAAGAATTCGAAAAGAAAATAATTATATCTAATAAATAAACAATAGAGATAATTTGTTTTTCAAATTAATCGTTATTTAAATATTATACATATCTTTTTATCTTTTGTTAACATTATCATCAAAAGGAACATATTCTTATCCAATTCTATATAGATAAAAGTACATTTTTAGAAACGTCCATTGATTAATTTGAAAATAAAATAAAAATATTTTTTTATTTTTGTGATGACAAAATCTAATATATTGCAATTCTTATTAATTCATTGCTGATTTTATTTCAATTAACTGATTTAATATAGAATTTAAAATAAATGATAAGATATTGTGAAAAACATATTTGTCGTTTATCTTTATTGAAATCTATTGTTTATTATTCATAATAAAGCGTCTTTTTAAACTAATATATATATGCGTTAACATATGTGAAAATATGGTTTATTAAAAACTAGTTTAATCGATGGGAATTAAGATTAGACATTTTATTAACTCAATAGATATATAACTCTCGATATTTCTACTCAAAATTCATTGATTAAACATATTAGAATTTATGGGATAATTGAATGTGTCAGTTGATCATGATAGTTTGATACAGATATTATTATTGTTAATGAGTCATATAGAATTCGATGTATATTTTAAAATTAAAATCTAATTAGCATTTCTACATATAAATAGTTATGTTTTTCTCTTGACTAATTTAATCCAAATAGCTTGTGGTCCAGATCCACACCCTAAAGATGTTATAAATATTCTTACTTAATGTTGTCTGTAATATTCATAATTACTTGCATTTGAATTCTAATGCTTTCTAATCATATTACTAAATAAAAACTCAAACCAGACACACACAGTAGTTTTTTACATAAAAGTTCCTGATATTCATACAACGTCATCTAATTTATTAGGAGCTGAATGCATGAAATGCAAACACGAAAAAGATAAAAGAATGAGAAAAAAAGTAAGCAGACTTCAAAAATAAAGAAAAAAATAGTGACAGAACGAAAGACAAACAAGTAAGTATTTATAAACTATGGTTATTACCTATTTTCTTATAAAAGGCTAGTAACAAACACAAGTCAAAATCATACACGGTGAGTAGTTTTTAGGAAACAAAAAACAAGCCACTTTACGGCAAGTAAGCAAGGAAAGAGAATTATACTACATAAAAGAAGTGCCTTACATATGTAAATATTTTTGCTCAACATGAGCACTTTGAAATTTTCTTCCTATATGATATTCATTACTTATTATAATCCATGATATTTTAAAATGAAGTCGTTCATCTATTAGTCATTCTACTGCACATGCACATAAATAATATCTAACCAATGGCGTTTGCTAACGATCTTTATCTTGAATGTATCACTAAATATTTTGTGATCATTTTTGATAGAAGAAGCCGTTAGCAATAGTGGAATTACGTTTTATTATATTTCTCGTTATCAAGAACCACATCGTTTTCATACAAAGCATACACTTGTATACTCATCCATGAGAGAAAAAGAAAAAATAATAAGGTTAAAGTATCACACGATATGTGAAATAAAGACAGAAAGATAAGGACACTACATCAAATGAGAAGGAATTATAAGAACAGGACAAACATCGTTACGTATTTAAAATAATTTTTTTTGTGAAACACGATCTAAAAGGAATGTTGAAGTATTTAGAGATAGAAACTTGCATTCACCTTCTCCACAGACGTAAGCGACATAATTTCATCGATCGTAATAGACATAGACATTGAATTGCAGAACAGGGTAAAACTATTGGACTCGTACTGTTTAACAAAAGTACGTTTGTAATTTCTATTATATTAAGAAGTTTTTCTCTTGAATTTTGTAACAACTGTTAAAATACTAATCAGATGAGTTCAAAATATGTAAGTTATTTCTTTTTTGTATTTTTATACGTTTATGTCACAGGATGATGTGAAACATGTTTCATATTCTAATCCGCCCTCTAGGATTTATACTAACAGCTTTTCTTCTGCGAAGGAAATAAATAGAGTTGTATGCTTTATTATATCATGACAGTAATCATAAGCACTATGTATTTAATGAAAAACGAACAGTTGTTCGCAGGGCTAGATGTAGGTTAAGAGGAGGGTGTGGTTCAATTTAGGTATCAATATTAGGATCAAAATCCATGAGAGAATGCTTCTGCGAGCAACTGTCCTAAGCCGAACGAAAAGAAAGAGAGATAGAAAATACTTTTATATTTATATATCTTGTTTTATCCATGTTTTTTCAGAGAAACACTAAACAGTTTATTCTTCAGTCAATCCAAAGTTAATCTGTTCAAAAAATGCTGGGTTCAACACTTGGCATGTCCAAGATTTACAACGATAATTCTGCTATACAAAAAGCTGCTATTCAGTCATCACTCGAACTGATCAAAGAATCGATTGATGCACTCGATATTCCTCAAGTCAACATCATAGCTGATTATGGTTCATCACAAGGAGTCAACTCAATCTATACAATCAAGCAAATTATCGATTATCTTCGGCAAACAAACAAATGTGTCAAAGATCCACTCGTTATTCACAATGATCTACCTACAAATGATTGGACATCACTTTTTCAGCTTCTCGTCAAAGACAATTCATATTATGGAGTGGCCAGTGGTCACTCGTTTTATGAACAATGTCTTCCCAATCATTCTGTTGGAATTGGTTATTGCTCGACATCAATTCATTGGTTATCAAAGAAGCCATGCAATATTTTGAATCATTGTCTTATCAATGCCGCTACATGTCCAAAAGTAAATGAAGAATTTCGACAACAAGCATATCTTGATTATTGTCAGTTTTTGAAACATCGATCCTGTGAATTAATTAGTGGTGGTGTTCTTATTCTAGTCGTGTTGGCCACTAATAAAGAAGGTAAACGTGGGAATGAAGAGTTTCATAATAGTCTCTACGAATGCGCACAATTGTTACCTTTCACATCCAATGAATTAATTGATTATACCATCCCTGCGTATTTTCGATCTTATGATGAATGTATTGATGAAAAGCTCTTCGCTCAATATTCGTTCGACTTGATCAAATCCCAAAATGTGATGATGGAACCACCTTTCTTGAAATCATGGAAAGAGGAACAAATAACCTTTGATGAATTCGCTCGTTTAAGTACGTCGTTTGTCCGCGGTTGGAGTGAATCAATTGTTGAACAAACGTTAACGAACAATGGTCGAACACGAGCTGATATTCCTGGATTATTAAATCAATTCTGGAATTTATTTGAAGAAAATCTTCGAAAGAAACCCGATCTTGGGAATATTTCCTTCGAATACGTACAAATAGCTTTGAAAAAGAAATGAATGCGTATTGTGAAATAATACACAAGACACTGTCATAGTAGTTATCTATTAATAAACAATAAAAAGAAATTTGAATAATATACGCTTTTGATGGAACATTTTAATCGTATCAGTTTTACCTGATTTGATGAATGTATCAGATTATTTTCTTAATATTTTGCATCTTTCATTTATTTCATTACATATTAATTATTTTTATTCGATGAACATGAAAGTGGATTGATTAAAAGAAGTTTGATAACTTATTTAAGATAGACATATTTATTTGACATATTGGCGAATATTAAAAAAAGGCGCATTGTTTCAAAGACAAAGTGAAATGAACATTTGTTCAAGTGACGAAACATGTCACACTAGATTCAACGAGTCAGTTGAATAGTAGATTGGAGAAGGCAGAGAAGCAGTCCAGTCATCGTAAAAAAATGGAATCTTAACACGGGTGTTCCATTGCTAACTTCGGCAACAAAACCAGATACTACTCGTGGAAGATACTCATTGACCGCATTATAAGTTAATCTTTTCCAATCAGCTCCTTGTGGGTAGAAATACTCCTTGGTCTGCGAAATGATGTCTTGACAAAACGGTTCGGTGGCATTACGATAAAAGCGACAGTGAAGTCGTAGAAAAAACATTGCATTGATATTTGGTGTCACGGGGTAAGTACCAGCTTCCCAGAAGACGCGAATCATACGTTTAGCACCTGATATCGTTTTAATATAACTGTAAGGCAATTCACCGCCGGTCGCTACGACTATATCATTGGGTTCAGTTGGAGCATCTGGAATCCAGCGTTTAAATGTCATGGTTGAGTCGTTATCTAGTGGTAAATAAGTCCAATTACCATATAAACCGACTGCCGTGTGCCAGTCAATCAGAAGAATATTGTCAGCATTTTGCAAATATTTATTGACTACTTGTTCACTAGTTTCACTAGACCATGATTTGGACGGTCCAAAATAGGCAATACCTTGTGGTCGTTTACCTTGACCAGTTTTCATCGCTGTATTGACAGCATTCTCGCCATATTCAGTATACAATTGAGCAAACAGGGCAAATGCTTGTTGTTGAACTGTTGAATTTGATAAATTCGGTAAATCGATCCCATCAATCAAACGTTGTAGTATTGGATTATCATAATTGAGACTATAATATTGAGCTCCATTTTTCAATTGATCAGCATTTTGTTCATTCTCTTTTGAGATAAAAGAAGCACCATAGGGATTGATCATGTGCAAATGAATAACTCGAACATTATCACCAAATGTTGACGATGGCATGCGAAGCATACTAATTTGAGCCATCGATCCAGCAAAACCTTCTATGCCGTGTGTCCCTGAGATAGTATAGATGATTGAACGTGCTTGTGGACTGCCCAGTGCGCACACGGTTGCTTGCAATTGCTCGCCATTGACACCTTTGGAAGGATGATCGAAATATTCGAGTGAACCTTTGGCATTGAGACATGCCACGGCGAATTTGTTTGTCGCTTCTGGGACAGTATTTGAATAGTAGAAATTGTCTGATTCAGATGTATAAGTGATATGGATGAGATAGCAAATTGCCAAAATACATAGCCGAAATTGGTGAATGATTTTCATCGATAAATACGAACACAATATGAATAATCGCAAGTAATATTATGTCGAGGAATGAAAGATTTTGCAGTTATTATATAGGGATCAATAAAGGTTTTGGATTATGTGAACAAATATTGACGTATTATATGTCTTTGTCGTAATGCTAGAAGTAATCTACACCATTGATCTTATGATGAGTAATTTTGTGTTTGTCCCATACATTGAGTTCTGACGTGATATTATCCTTTCTTTCTTTCTTTCCTCTCTACCTTTTTGACAAATGAATCAGTTTATGCGTAAGCTGAAAGTGAGTATTAGTTCACGAAAACTAAAAAATATGACCAACAAAAGGTAAAATTAGTCGTTTGATTGTTCTAGTAGAAGTCAGGCAATCAATAAATGTGCTAAAGAATGATGTTGCAGATTTAGTCATAATGTATTAGATCATCGAGTTTTATTTCATAGTGATACTTCATGTGATGGTGTTAATAATAAATTCTACACAACAAATCATCTCTGTCTACATCCACCCTCAAGATGGGCACCTTCTTCTTCAACTACAGATAGATGAAACATAAAAAATGAGTGATATGTAAGTTCCACATTTTACCTAAAAAAACCTGCGCTGATAAGCTTGTTCTCTAAACTGCATACAAATGCATTGAAATCGTGCACGTTTTTATAAAGAAAAAGAAAAAGAAGAAGAAGCGAGAGCAATGTGATCACTATGAGCGACGTAATATAATGTGACTTTTTTTTGTCGTTCTTGTTTTTTTCTTGTGAAAAGAAAAAGAAAAACTTTCATTTATTCGACTTCAGTTGTGCAAGACTTACAAAAGCAGTTTTTTTCTAGTTATATCAGTCACAATGTCGATCGATCGGAATTCGTCGCTTGAAATATTACCTGTCGAAATCCTTCATCGTATTTTCGATAATCTTGATGCACAAACAATACTCTTCTCACTTCGCAACACATGTCGACAATTGTATGCAATAACCAAAAGCTACGAACGATATTCTCTCGATTGCCAATCAATTTCAAAGTCTGATTTTGATCGTCTTTCTCGACTAATTGATGCTCGTAATGTCATTTCACTAAAACTCTCCAATGACGACTATACATTCAATCAAATCGAAATATTTCTTACACAATTTAATATCCATGAATTTAGTCGACTTCGCTCATTGATTTTAATTGAAATTGAAGAAGAATATTTAGAACCGATTTTGGAGAATATTAACATACATTCACTCATTTCATTTTCATTATCAGTTAAAAAACTTGAAGATCAATACAGAAAAAAAACAGCAGAACTTCTTACATCACTAGTTACGCAAACAAATCTTCTTAAACTTGAGGTTAAAACCATATATGCGAGACTCGAAGAAATAGTTTGGCCAAATCAATCAACAATTCGACATCTAAAAATTGACCAACTTATCACTATTGATGAAATTTGCCAGATTCTTCAAAGTTTACCTAATCTTCGCATTCTCGTCATAGGTCATTTATATGAATCAGCATCTCACCAAATCAATCTTGTACGTCTTTCCGCACCATTTCGTCAAGTTATCTCATTAACTGTGGAATACATGTGCATATCCATAGATGATCTCGAATTGTTTCTTTCACTAATGCCTTCATTAACTTATTTGAAGTTAATTAGTACTCAGACAGATGGGCATGGTAATCGATGGGAACAATACATCCAAACAAATTTACCTTTTTTGACTAACTTTGAATTTTACTTTTACATACAATTTGATTACCAGAACAATGTTTCTGACAATGAATCGATCATTACCTCGTATCAAACACCGTTCTGGATCAATCATAAAAAGTGGTTTGTTGCCTGTGAATATTCAATCGATGCGCCAAATTCGATCAATGTCTTTTCAATTCCAATTTGTCTGTCTTCTCTGACCTACATAGCAGAATCGAATAAAGTTTTACTTTCTACATTTCCTACACTACTTAACAATGATGTATTCATAATGGATAATATTACTAAACTTCAATTAACTATCTCACAATCGACAGTTACGAACGCGGAACAACAAGAGATGCAAATAAATTTAAGTGCACTGGTTTTTTTTCAATGAACAAAGTTCTTCTAATCATTTGAGACTTTTGCTTTGCGAGGAGATCATATATTCGACGTTTAAAGAAGGTCTAGCTAAAAGTTTTTTGAATTTGATTAAAATCCTTGTCTGCCAATTTCTTTGAAAATGAAAACCGTAATAATATTTAAGAGATAATCGGTCATGTAGATTCTTTCTTTTGTGAAAGAGAGTGTTTCTTTGTTGATTTAAGAAATGATGTTGCAGATCAGATTGAAATTATTCGTTCTTTTTAGAATGAAACATCTAAATATTACTATTTTCGCAAAGTGAAGGAGTTGGTAATTACATTCAAAAATGATACACCTTCGAACTGGATCCATTTTGTTTCCACACTGATCGATGTAACAACAATCATGCACATCCAGATAATAGGTCGATCAACTCAGAGAACAAGACGTAATATGCGAACCAGCATTTCCAGTTTTCTTCAACGAGCTTGCTGTTTGGCTTCTCTTTGTATAGATTATGATTTAAGTATGTACAACAGTTGGACAACCGATAATATCTGTTGTATGGTTCCTTCACATGTGAAACATTTAAAAGTATCAATTAAGAATCCAGATGAAATCAAACTTGTTCTCAAACGACTTCAGCAATTATCAAGTGCTCAATTTCGTTTTGGTCACACATCATGTTGGAGAAAACTTACTGAATGGATTGACAGAAATATGCCACGCTCAAGTTATAAAGCAGATGCCTATTCATTTATTGTATGGCTTGGCAAGAATTCTATCGAATTCAATGAAAGCAAACATAACAGTAAACGGATCAAACTGACTGACGATCCTCAGAACTTTTCAGATGGCTTAGAACATCTTTAAATTTAGTTTAACTTAATCCAATATAAATTAAATTTTACTCTGCTATAAGAAATACTTATAAAAATTTGATCTGTGATAGAATACATACATAGAATTATCTAGTTAATGTATCTTCAATGATTAATCTGTTTATAATTCTCGTAGAATATAATATTCTATTAATATATAATCTCATTTTATTTCTTTTTTTAATACATATAAATAATGGGATTTCAAACTCTAACAGACATCATCAGATCAGAAATAAATTCAGATGTACTAATTCGAATACAAAAGAACATGGAAGATGTATGGAAAAATAATACTAAATAATTATTTAATGAAATATTTTAAACTATAGAGGTATGAAATAAGATTAATTACTAAAATTAAGTCAAACAGGAAGAGAAATACCATCATCATCGAATGTTTCATTTATTTTATTTGAATAAGAATTAATCAAAAATTGATTAGAAAGAAAATAATAATGAACAAATTATGTTGCATCATTAAAATAAATAAATATTTTATTCATTACAATATTATTAATAGAATTCATATGAGATCAACTGTTCATACGAATCATTATCATTGTTAATCACATATTGTATCATTTTTTGATAATATTAAGTCATATTCATTAATATTTAATGTAGAAATTGAAAATTTTAATTCAATATGATTGTATTGATCATGAATATCATTGAAAGTATTGTTTAAATACTTACAGAAAAGTTTTTACTAAAAAATGATATTATCATATTTAAAGTAAATATATTGAAAGTAACAATGTTACTCTAATATTTTCATCTAGTTGTTATCAATAAAAGTTATTCATTCTGACAATTCACAATTTTTAATGTTTCTGTTGTGATGATATTTCAAAACTTATCTTTTCATTATATAATCTGCAGTATTAGGTGATAAAAATAGACTACAAAGCTTCGTATGAAAAAACTCAATAATTTTCAAAGACCAACTGATTTTATAGATTGAATAAGAAAACATAAGATGTAACTATAAAATCAATCACCCTTTATAAGTTGTAAAAATATTTTATGTTGAATTTTGTCGTATATTTACTATTCTTTTTAAAATGATATCAAACAATAAAAAGAGATTTCTTCTTCTTTATATAAAAAAACAAGATTTTGTTCGAGACAATAAAAATTGATAGCATATAATCTTGTTTTTTCTTATCTCAAAAATAAAAAAGTACATAGTTAAGTTTGACTTCCTACATTGAAGATGAGTGTGGATATGACTATTTTTTATTATACCAGCATTGCACACTCAAGATATTACATTAGTTTTATTATTCGAATTTTATCATAAAAAAGAATTCTTTTTTAATTTCTTTTACTACCAAGCAATATTTTTATTCTCATTGACTCATGAAACTTATATTTGTTAAAGTAGATAAGAAGGCTATTCATTTCTTTTACCAATTTCTATTTAAAGACATGGCAATGGCAAATAACAAAACACTATGTTTTACATGTAATAAAGATAAAATAACATATCCTTGTAAAGGATGTTTAAAAGAATTTTGTTTAACACACTTAACAGAACATCAACAAATATTAAATGAACAATTAAATGATATTATTAATGTTTATGATCAATTTAAACAGACAATTAATGAACAAAAACAAAATTCACAAAATGATTTATTAATAAACCAAATTAATCGATGGGAAAAAAATTCGATTGAAATAATACAACAAAAAGCACAAGAGTGTAGAAGAATTCTAATTGAATATTCACCAACATTCTTTAATGACATTGAAAAGAAATTTAATGATTTATCTGAACAAATAAAAGAAATTCATAGCGAAAATGAATTTAATGAAATTGATTTAAATAATTTAAAAAAACAATTAATAGAAATTACAGAAGAATTAAATAATCGATCAAATATTTCTATTCAAGAAGATTCGCAATCATTTATTAATAAAATTTCAATTATTTTATCAAAAAGTAAGTTTGTAAGAGATCATTTCTACAAGAAAGATTCTACTGAAGAAGAGGAAAAACAATTGAGAATATTATTGATCAATAAGAAGAGTATTAATAGATATGGAAAATAAAATTTATTCATAAGTAAAGAAAAAACTGATAAGATAAGAAAGAATATTTGATTAAAAATAATTTTCAAATTTTGTTAATTATTTAAATAAAAATAATAATTAATAAAAACACCTTGTTAGAATTTCATCACTTTAGATATTTTAAATTAGAAAAACTAGAATCTTTTTATTCTCTTTTATCATTTACAATAAAAAAACACATTTTTCTATTATCTTGAAGAAAAAGAATTCGATTTTGTAATGATTCGAATAATAATTCATCATTTGTTTTTTTTTTGTTATTTTTATCGAATAAATTATTCGAAAATAAAATGTAATAATTTATTCTTCTGTTTATATTGAAAATCAATCTATCTTATCATTCAAATAAATAATTTCGAAATGAATATTGAATGTGGGAGAATATGAATGAAATTGACTAACTGTATGCAACCACCCACATCCATACCCTCAAAGATTTTTTCTTTTATATTCTAAATAAAAAAACTTCGAACGATTTATGGGTTTCTTTTAATAAAATTCTACAAAAATCAACATAAAAATCTCTTATGTTCATTATTTTCTAGAACCAAAATTCAACAAATGGAAACAAAATGCCATCACTGTGGCTGGTGGAAATGAAGAAGGAGAAGGATTAAATCAACTCGATTACCCTGATGGAATCTTCATTGATGAAAAGAAAAATATTTTCATTGCTGATTGTGAGAATCATCGTATTGTTGAATGGAAATATAATGCAAAACAAGGACAGATTATTGCAGGTGGAAATGAAAAAGGAAATCGAATGAATCAACTGAATCGACCAACACATATGATTGTTGATCAACAAGATCATTCGATCATCATTGCTGATCGCGACAACAGACGAGTGATTCGATGGTTGAATCAAAATCAACAAGTTCTCATTAAGAATATTGAGTGTTATAGTTTGGCAATGGATAAAAATAGATTTCTTTATGTTTCTGATACTGAAAAGAGTGAAGTGAAACGATGGAAAATGGGAGAATATGACAATGAAGGAATTGTAGTGGCAGGTGGAAATGGAAGAGGAGATCAACTCAATCAATTCCATCATCCTAATTGTATCTTTATTGATGAAGATGAATCTGTTTATGTATCAGATCGAAAGAATGATCGTGTGATGAAATGGAGAAAAGATGCAAAAGAAGGAACAATTGTGGCCGGAGGAAATAGTAAAGGAGCAAACCTCAACCAATTGTTTGGACCTCAAGGAATTATTGTTGATGATTTGAGTCAAATCTATGTGGCGGATTGTTGGAATGATCGAGTAATGCGTTGGTGTGAAGGAAAAGGTGAAATTGTTGTTGGTGGGAATAAAAGAGGAAATCAATCAAATCAATTGAATCGTCCATGTGGTTTATCTTTTGATGATGAAGGAAATCTTTATGTTGTTGATTTGTTTAATCATCGAATTGAAAAATTTGAAATAATTTTGTGAATGAAATTCTTTTAAAATAAAAATCGAAAAATTAAAGAAAAAAGTCAAGTTTTATTGTTGAAAATTAATGCAAAAAATCGAATAAATTTTGGAGAAGAAATATATTGATAAGAAAACAATGAAGAAAAATCGTTTTGGTTTTTCTTTTTTGAAAATTAAATTTAATTTGATAATTTTTGTTTATTTTTATTACTCTTTAATCCATAATTACATTTCAAAGGAGAATTTTTTAAGGAAAACTGCTATTAGAATAATTGAAGAAATAGTCGAATAAATTTGAAATGTTTCTTATTAAAATCTAATTAGTTGAAGTTGATAAAAATTTAATAGAAATGATTAAATTGCATCATGAAATCAATTCTAAAGTCTATTTTTTAAATATGTTCAGCTTAATGTGTCTAGAATAGATATAACTAAGAGAAAATGTTTTTTGTTCTTAAAAATAAAATAAGAAATATTTATGTGATTTAAGCGGGTGTAGGTGGGTGTGAATACTAAGGTGACAAAACCTATATCAATACCCATTATCAGCTTGGTAAAGTTGAAAAAATAAGGGAATCTCTCGCTCATATTTATTATAAATTAAATAAATTTAAGCCATAAAATCTTTTGGAAATGATGCTCTTTTGATTTCTTCATTGCTGACGTCTTTGCAAGATTCAAAATATCGAACTTTTGAGTAAATATTGCCTAACTTATACAATAATAGAAGTATAATTTTTGACAACGACTGATCTAGTGAAATAAACGAACAATGTTGAAGTCTTCATATTATGTGTGTATTATTATATGTGTATACTGCCACCTTGAGCAACGGGTGTGGGAATTATATTCATCTTTCATCCTCCATTCTATGTATTGAAATTTAAATATTTTTGATTTGTCTTGCGTCAAATTATCACTTAGAAAAAATTGTTCTGTAAGTGTATGAAAAAAGCAAATAAATTCTATCTCATTTGTTAGTTTACGAGTTAACTAGAGAATCGGTCTCTAAAAGTGCAGCTGCAAACGTAGAAAAGTTAATATGCCAAACACGAATCAGCACGATAATCGTTTTAAATGCGTAGAAATGTTTTAATAGAGATTAGTTTGTTTCTTCTTATCTCTCGTATAGTTTAGAACCGATCCAATAAAATAATATTTTTTCATTTGTAAGTTGTATTGGAGTATCGTTTTTTTTTTATTTCATTGATTACATGGGAATCTTTTCAGATGCTAGGCTCCTCTCTCTTCCATTAATACATCACACAATCGAAGACATCGATTGAGTGAATAAAAAGCTTCGCGATAGATAGATGAATGTGTATCTAAACTACGTCTCTGAAATGTTTGCTCGCGGAGCAGCGGGAATTCTTATTTATTATGTAAAGTAACTATTCCGTTGACTGCAACAATCGTTCGTAGATATTCATATCGTGTCGTGTGTAAAGATGAGAGTAGAAAGTATGATAAAAACAACACCTAGTTCGTCTTGATACCGTACTTGTAGAACGTTTGTTTCCTCTGATCGTAGTAGTAGTAAGATGGATTGAAATCTTTCATTGTATGACATGAATAAAAATAGTATGAATGCACTTAGTTTTATACCGTGACATTGGTTAATTTGCAGTTATAAATTGCACAACAAACAACAACGATTCGATTTACACAAGTGATGAAATTCAATTGCTGTTGGTATTTACTGCCGTTTTGTTTGATAGTGGTGAGTGTACTCTATATATTTGAATGAATAAGTTATTCGTTATTTAAACAAGTAGATTGCTACTAATGTTCATTGTGAAATCGTTGATCAGACAACAACAACAGCTACAGAGATTGGTGAATATATTTTGATTCTGGCAAACTTGAATTATATTTCAAATATTTTTTATTACAGCTAGAGTTTGTGATGGTGATCAGTCTATTGATATTAAAATCATTAGTCGTGCATCAAACATGTTCAAGTGCCAGATTGTGTACGATTGTGATCTTAGAAATCATGCTAATACATTGGGAATATTCAAGGATGGTGAAATTGTATCACAATGCACAATGAGAAAAGTAGCGGCAACTGGCAAGGAAAAAACCAAACTTGAAATAATATGCAATCTTATTACGGGCTATGCTGGAAAAGACTGGAAATTTGTATTGGGTAGCAAATCTGGATTTAATCAAACTATTGGCAATGAAACATTTACTGTCACACTTGATCCATTACTTTTGACGAAGCTACCTAGTTTTGACATCACACTTGATGAAGAAATCACATCGGCATCAATTTTTATATCCGATTGTTATCATATTTCAGAAACTAAATATCTTAATTTTCAATGTTCGAGTGATGACGATGTAAAGAAACCAGTTACTGACACTTGCCAAGTTACATGTCCAGTGAAATCAGATTCCACTTACAATATGTCCTTGATTCGTCTTTCTATACCAATAAATAGTGGAAAGGAAATTGTCAATGGTACATTTTCAGAAGAACGACGCCGCGAAACTATTCGCATAGGTAAGATACGAGTGAAGTTGATCGAACTAGTAGTAAACGTTATTCCATACCATTCTATTGATATCAAACCGAGCTGATATTCTTGGCATTTTTATGTTATAGGTAAACCGTGCCATAATGCTTACTCAACTGCTATGAGAATAATGAATCGAACATCGAGTGTATTCACGCTCAACATTTCGTACAATTGTTTAATTACAAATTCTGCTAAGTTAGCTGTGTTTAAAGATGACAATATCGTAACACAATGCAAAATAGATTTGACTTATTTACCGAAGATTGAGAAGACTAATGTTATCGTTATATGTAATAATATTACTAATCATGCTGGTCAAAAATGGACGTTTTCATTTGGTAGTATGAATGATCACAAAACAAATGTTGCCAATGAAACATTCATTGTTTCACTCGAGCCACTCTCTTTGAAAAGCCTACCAAAAGTCCAACAAACAGTTGATGAAAACATTACTTTAACGACGATCGTTGTAGAGGGCTGCAATGGAGTAGCAGAAATAGCACATCTCTATTTTCAATGCGGATTGGGTGTGATTGGAAGACAGTCTCTTTCAGAGAATTGTACATTTACATGTTCGGTGCAACCCGCTGTTAATTATCATGTTCAAGTCATTCGATCTTCCATTCCAAAATATGATGGAGCACAGACTCCGAACGGTACATTTCCAGAAGAGGCACTACCTGTCACTTTCACCACAAGTAAGACCAGGTTTAAAGTGTTTGTTTTGTATTGATTAAACTATTTAATATAAGTTCATTACTATATTATCTTGTCGAATTTTAGAAATAGACAAAGCAACCAATATTCGTGTTGAATTAAGCGAGACAAACAATAGTGTGGCGTTGATTTATTTCACACGACCTCGTGGTTTTTACGATGAGATTCGTATCGACTGTTTTCCATCTAATCAAACTTGTACGAATACAAGTGCCGTTCTAACGGGCAAAGTCAATAGTGCATGTACGAATTGCACTCATATCACAATCGCTTCAATACAAAATGGTATCGAATATAAATGTTGGGCAAATATTTCCAGAGCAACATTTAGTTCAATAAACTACAGTGCTATAGATTTCAACACACGTAAATACATCTACACAGTACAGAAGTTCTTGATTATGTCTTTTCTTTTATTAGCATTAAAACCAATACTTTACAATCAGACATGGTTGTCAAACACCACTGATATTAGTGTCGATGTTGTTCCACAAAGCGACTTCGATCATATTGAATCAGTATGCCAAGTACATCATACGCAAACATCTGTATGCATGGACATGAAAATAACTCATAGTCAATGTACAACAACATTAACATCAACTTTCAATGGTATTCCTGGGTGTGATTATCGATGCTTTTTTTCGACAATAAAAGAAGATTACATAGATGTACATTCAGAAGAATACACTATATCAATTCGTAAGTAACGAGTGATTCGATATAGAAGAATGCATGTTTATGCTTTATCTAGCACCGCCCAAACCAATTATCACCTCAACTATATGGGCTGCTCATTATATATTCGTAGAATGGACAATTGATGAACCTGCCTATGTCGATCAGTTTCTCGTAGTGGTCAACAATAAAAGTATGATCGTTTCCGATCGAGATGCTCGTTCGTTCAATTATACGAACAATATTCTGCCTAATCAAGAGTAAGTGTCACTCGAGACTTTACTTTATTCATCTTGTATTCTAGAAAAATCTAATTAGAACAACGTAAATTTAGATATTATCTGCATGTGGAACTTATTTCAAATCAAATTATATCTTCGAATACAATTTATAATAAAACAGCAAAGTATGATATGTTTGTTTATTTTTTCTATTTTCAATAAATATTTTTTAGCGTGATTTGTCAACTAGATCCTCGGGAAAAGAAAGATCGATCACTACTATGGCTGATTAGTATTCCCATCGTGATCATTATCTTGCTTGGTATTGGCTGTATTGTGTGGAAACGAAAGACACTTCATACACGTCAGTCTGCAAGTCGAAAGTAGGATAGTTATGGCGATCTCTTTACACTTTATTCTTGTTTGCTTAATTTTATTGCAGGTCAAGACCAGGTGATTCTCAAGCTAAAGCCACCGAGTGAGTGCAGACAATAATGGTAAAGGGTTGGCTGTATTCATTAGACAAAACTGTTCTTTTATCGATTATCGAGAAAGTTTTTTTCCAAATAAAAGGCTTTTTACTCATGTCGACAATTACCGAAGAATTTTATAAGAACAAAATTTGTATAGAATTAGTAATTCTACGGTGTTTTTTTGCTGTTCGATTGAAGACTCGATCATCATTACGTTTGAAATCTTTCTTTCTTTTACAGGTTTCAACGAAA